ATGCACACCGTACGAATTGATATCGTAATATGAATATAATATCATTGAAGTAATACGATAATAAATCAAAGAAACGTGGCGTATTAAAGGTATATATATATAATATATATAATATATATATATTATATATATACGTATAGAAATCTGTCGGCGGATGCAAAACTGCTTGCCCCTATCCCCCACCCTTCCCCTTCTCCCGGCCCTTCCCCACCCACTAGCCAAGCGGGGAGATCGCAATCGAGCGAGATCGGTTTGGACGTAAGATGTAAGTCGTAAAGGTAAACGAACCGACCTTGAGCAGTACGAAAACCTCGACGCCAGCCATGAGGAGCATGGTGGCAGCGCTGGGGGCAGCAAGGGGAAGAGCCCCGGGTCGTTGCCTGAGCAAGGACCTCGGGTAAGCGCGTGTATCGGTCTCGATCTCGGTCTGGCTCTTCTTTCCAGGGGGCATTTTGTACACCGAAACGGTCCTGTTCGGGGCCGGGCCGCTGATGACACTCGCCACGCTCGCCAGCCCGTTCCTGTCCATCGCTACGTCCGCCAGGCCGGGCACGAGGAAGAATTCCGTGGACAGCTCGCAGGCGTTGGACGATTGGGCCCGCGCCGCCGTAGTTCCGGTTGGACCGAGCCAACTCGCCGTGGCCCACGACACGATGATCGGGCTCAGTCTCATCGCGTCATCCGTGCGCTTCCGTGTCCTTCTCTGTCCTATGCGCGTTATTCACGCTACTTCTTCTCTTTTTCTTTCTTTCTTTCTTTCTCGCTCGCTCTCGCTCTCGCTCTCTCTCTCTGTCTTTCTACAACGTTTCTGTAACGTCACCGGGACATGCACCGTTTCCTGCGTAAGCGCATCCTTACATCCGCCCGCCTCCCTTTCCTACAGGAGGAACAGGACACCTGTAATCAATATCGATTCGTCTCTCGATAAATAACGCCGATTTACATCTAGTTGGTAGCGAGAAGAAATTGGAATTAATTTGGGATGTCGAAAATTGTATATATATATAAGTAAAAGAATATTTTTTTTCTTTTCTTTTTAATTGATAAAAAGTCACTACTGTAAATTGAATATTTTTAATATTCTTTTTATGCTTGAAACTTGTTTCTTTTTTTTCTATAGTAAGATTAGAATGGAGCTTTCTTGTTTAAAAAGAAATCGATGAATTTTAAAAGTATGGACAAAAGCGTCGGCCTATTCTGCGTGAGAGAGGCAAGCATGAGCAGGCCGCGGGCATTCACGGAGTTTAACACCATTAATTATTACGAACAGGGTCAGGCAGTAAGTAGAGTGAAGCACGGGCCGGGTAAAACCAGAATAAAAGCCAAATAACATAACAAGTGTGTTACGGCACAATAGTACCACGTAATAGGATATATCATTGCGAAATAAATAATCAATTGTACGAGTATCGGTAATTTAAAACGATGATGATTAAGTGAACCTTTTAAGTGTCGATCATTGTCTGCCTTCAAGATATCTTGGAGATATCGGTTGCCACACATTTCTTTCTTCTTTCGTCAATCTTCCTCTAAGATGATAATGAATATATACGAAAAACACGATCTTTTTTTTTCTTTCTTTCTTTCTTTCTTTCTTTCTTTCCTATCCTCGAGAGAGATTTTTCGTTGCCTCGTTAATTCGATGCGACGTGAAGGTGTCAACGAACAACACTGTTCTGCGAGTCGATCTGTTCGAAGGATATATCCTCGATATGGTGGATGACGAGAAAAAGATTTTCAGTGAGAGAGCATGGATTGATGGTTCTCTGACGGGGCAAGTGAGCGGAGTGGCCACGAAGCGCGCGTTGTGAGAGCCAAACTCCGACTAAGCCGACAAGCATTCTCGAGGGAGAAACTGGAAGCAGACTGGAGTTCCGTTCTGGAGGTGAAGCCTATCCGTTACGGAGGAGCCAGGGAGATGGTGATGACGATGCCGAGGTGGTAGTGGCATACAACAGGAGCGGATCCACGCAAATCTTCCCAATCAAATCTTTCCTTTCCCCGATCTTCTCAAATCTACCGTCGATCGATCGATCGATCGACAATATTTTCACGTAGAGGGAAGACATCATTTATTAAGAAATTATTTCCTTTTCCATCTTCCATGCATCATCGATCCATCGATCGAGAAGATATTATTTAGAAATTATTTTAATTTTCGAAAGGAAAGAAAAAAATTTATATCGTTCAAATTTTCTTTTTCATCCATCGATCGATCGATCGAGAAGAGGGAAGATATTATTTAGAAATTCTCCATTTTAATTTTCGAAAGGAAAGAAAAAAATTTATATCGTTCAAATTTTCTTTTTCATCCATCGATCGATCGATCGAGAAGAGGGAAGATATTATTTAGAAATTCTCCATTTTAATTTTCGAAAGGAAAGAAAAAAATTGATATCGTTCAAATTTTCTTTTTCCATGCACGATTAATCGAGATCGAGATCGAGAAGAGGGAAGCTATTATTTAGAAATTCTCCATTTTAATTTTCGAACGGAAAGAAAAAAATTGATATCGTTCAAATTTTCTTTTTCCATGCACGATTAATCGAGATCGAGATCGAGAAGAGGGAAGATATTATTTAGAAATTTTCTATTGAATTTTGAAGAAGAAGAAAAAAAAATTGATATCGAACGAGTTTTTCCTAAGTCGTATATATTTTAAACGTGACAGTTATTATTATTATTATTGAGTAATTGGTTTGGATTAATTTTAATAAAACGTGTAAACGATCGAATTACCTCGATCGTCGTTATGCAAAAAACTAGACGCGCAAAAAAGACTTTGCTCAACGAGTATGAATTAATCTCTTTTTTTTAACCTTTGATAAATGCAAAAACAATCATACTTCAAGTAATTAAGCACCTGTGTAATCCGTGCAATTTTAAAAAGGAAACATTTTCTTCTTTTTTTTTTCTTCGCGTATAACTTGTTACGGCAAGAAAAAGAAAAAAAGAGAGAGAGGGAGGGGAGGGGGAGGGAAGTGACTCGCCGCCCCTTATGAATTTTAATTAGCTAGCTATTATCGTGCCACAATTCCACTTTATCGTTTCGAAGTTGGCTTCGATCTGATCCGCCCCTGTCAAGATGAGAGAGGGATCAGTGCGGAATAAAAGAGAAATAGAGAGAAGGATCGGAATGAAAGAAAGAAAAAGAAGAGGGGAGCTGGTCCACCGACGTCCGGAGGACCGGACCCGGCCACGCCATTTACATATCGTATACGTATGTAATAACCTCGAAAAATGTTTTCAACAATGGGCCCAAGAATACTCGCAGCCACCAATAAAAACAGGGGAAACCGGAGAAAAATCGAGGAGACGAGGCTGAGAAAAAGATCGAGGAAACGTTTAACGAGTTTCTGTGGACATTCGACCGAATGAAAAATGAGAGATATTCTCACGGAAAATTCCACTACCAGTGTCTTTTTCATTTAGAGAAACCTGTTGTAGAAGAGTCGCAACACAGTTATTCCCTTTTGCTTCGAGACGAGAGAGAGAGAGAGAAAGAGAGATGTTCAAATAGATCGTCCTCGAACCGTCGTTATATATCTACCTTCGACTCAAAAGGAAAAGAGATTTAATTTAAGACACGAGCGGTGGAAATTATTTACCTTGGCCTAGAAATCGGAAAATAATTCGTGTGAAAGTGATAACGTGAGAAAGAACGTTTCTCCTTTCTGGATCT